AATCTAGATTTTTCTACTGCTGCATCCAGATGACCAAATATCAGCATCCTGGGTACTAACGCATCCATTCATGATGCTCTTTTCTCGCTTGCATGTGGGTTGTTCTCAAAATTATGGGCCCTTTTCGGTTATAGGTTATATTATGGCACCTAATATTCATGGGTACCAAAATGGGACCCTAATTTTTGGGAACTACCCATGTTATGAGTTCTGTGGCGGAAACACTTGTTTCAGAACGACGATGCGGGAGAAGGAACTTCCGTAAGCACGTCCTGAGCGAGGACCCTCAATCACCCCTACAGTAGTCCCCTAGATAACCACCCTAAACCCTAAACCCCTTTAAGGAGTTCAGATTATAGCTCAAATAGCGACCCTCAATTTATAGAAAATCCCGATATGAGCCAGAGGACCAGAGTGACGCGGCAGACGCAGCATCCTGGGCAGCGCGCGCAACCTGCAGCGCACATGATGTAGCGCATATTAGTCGTAAAAGTAGCACTATTCATTAAAAATATTAGCAATAACCTCAACAAGAAATATTGTTTTAGTAATAGAGGTAGTAATAATAAGAGTAACAATAAGAGTAGCAGTAATTGCAATGGTCTAGACACTGCGTACGAAGAATTGCGCACAAGCCCAACAGAGCCTCCAAAAGGGATACTTAGCATGTCGAGGTACTCCAATTCCAGCTTGAGTTTTTTGAAAATGCCTTCCCCTAACTGCTCCAGGCTTGCATGGCACCTCGTCATCTCTTATGAGTGCAGCTGCTCCGAGGGCAGGGGGCAGCGCCACATCAGCCATGGTGCATTTCCACCCTCGGTCGCAGCGCCTGGAAGACTATGGAAAGCTGCTAGGCACCCACCTGCGAATTGTGGAGCTTATGCACATGAGCCAGAATCTAAACCCCTGGCATCCCCCCTCATAACCCCTAAAATACTCCCCTATATATTCCCCTATGTAACCCCCTCTATGGAGTTTGACTATAGTTACTATAATAGTTCATATGAGCGTCTGCTTGCTGATGCTCCATGTAGCTCTTGTCAACGCTGGCTTGAGCAGCAAACAACTCGAAGCCCATGATAGCTGAGAACAAGCTGCCAGGTGCCAACGCAAGCAAAAGCTGCAGCAATGAGGGTTTTGGAGATTATTTGGTCCTGGGGACCCTAAACCCTAAACCCAAAGCCTAAAACCTTAAACCGCCCTGGCCGAGGGTGGCGCAACCTAGTTACCAAGACAAGTCTCACAGCCCTGGCGTAAAACTCTTCTTTGGCCGCCTGTGTATCTGTACAATAAACGGACCTTAATGGGAACCCTAAATGAGGAACCCCAAGAATGTAGGTTTAGGATTTAGGGAATGTAGTAGATGAGGACCCTCACCTTGGTAGGTACCTTCCTACTATATTCTTGGGGCCCCTGTTTGGATTCCCATTAAAAATCCCCATTCCATGCAGCAAAGCCTCCTGTACAAAAGGATCCACACCTTTGGCCGAGCACTGCAAAGCCACAGGATCTACTCCACTCCCCGCAAAGGGTTTGTAGAGTTCAGGGTGTAGCGTAAGTCTTTATATGGTTGAATATTAAAAATACTCCCAATTAAACTGGTTTTAGGGCTTCTTCGGCGTTAAGTAGTCTGACTCCAATTCTTGAGAGGCAAATGGCAAATTATTGTGTGAGGGGGATTGCGCGGGTCCCTAAACCCTAAACCCTAAACCCTTAACCCCTAAATCCTAAACCCTAAACCCTAAACCGCAACTCGTGACACAGCAGTTACCAGCCCAAGTCATCATCACCGTAAAGCTGGTCTTCAGAATCTGTGTCCACCGCCTCCGCTGCCAGAGTCCTTCAAATGCTTTTTCAAGCAGCTCACGGTTTAGGGTTTAGGGAATGCGGCAATACTGAGATCAAGTCGTTAAACTACACTTCTTGCCTTACGCGAACAACACCTCCTGCTCTCTTCCACTGCATTTGCTCCAACACCAGCTGGGTAGTTCCCAAAATTAGGGTCCCATTTTGGTACCCCTAAATATTAAGTGCCGTAGCGTAGTCTACAACCACAAGGGGCCCAGAATTCGAGAACAACCCATATGAGCTATACTCTAAGCCCCTAGTATCCCCCTTAATAAGCCCTATAGTGCAAACCCCTACATAAACGCTTATATAACCACCCTTACCAAGAGGGGCCCATAATGTTGAGAACAACCCAGCTGTCACCAAGGTCTTGAGAAATTCAGACAAGCCTCGACTGTTCTGAAGTGGCGGGCTGCAGGGTGGCGTCTGCAAACAAATCCATCTCCTTGCACCGACATTTGGGGGATTGTCAAAATTATGGTCCCTTTTTGGGTCCCCCTAAATTAGGCCCCGTATTAGGCCCCGTATTGTAATAGGGACCCAAAAAGGGACCATAAGTTTGACAATCCCCCATTTAGGGGCTTAGGTTTTTGTTGACGGGGAAGTGGACTTCTGTCTCTGCATGAGCCCGGCTCATCGAGCCTTCCCAGTGTCTAGTCTTGCTATCCTGAGTGCTCAGAGTCCACCAACTTGTGAGTGATAAACATTTCCAGGATGGGATTTCCATAAAGTGCCTGTACCTGCGCATCCGTAAACCCCTGCGCCATACACGCCTGGTAAACACTAGATCTTAGGTGGACCCCCCACCCAGCAATAGTGACTATAAGGGATAATAGGGATCATATTAGGGTCCTCTTTCTTTCTTCTTGTACCACTATTACAGGGTGTGGGGTCCTCCTAACCTATAACCCCTATATAACCCCAATATATACCCTATATCACAATACAACAGTTTCCATTTTCTTTTCCATTATCCCAATATTACCCCAATATATCCCCTAGAATCCCTACATAACCCATACAAAACCTAAACCATGAACGGCCCAAGCTCAGGCTCGGTCGCATGCCCTCAACTACTTGGAGGTCCATTGTACTTATAACCTACTTAGTAACTGTAGTTATAACCCAATTATATCTAGGGTAACTATAATTGTGGGACTTATATTTAGGTTATAACTACAGTTACTAAGTAGGTTATAAGTACAATGGACCTCCAAGTGCACGCAGCACCTGACCCTGCACGATTGCCCCCTTGCTCGTGCAAAAGCCCCTCTGTACCGGACCTTTCCGAAACAGCAACCCTGGTCTTAGGGTTTAGGGTTTGCACGTGCCTTGCCTTCCGAGATATGATCTAAGGTTAGAAGTATGGGCCCTCATATGGGCATTTAGGCCAGTTAGGGGGATTCTAGGGACCCTTAAGGGTGCATTTCGGGTATTTCCTAGGTATATAAGGATCCTAGGATGAAGCGCCCATACTAGGGGCCCATGGCTTCAACCTTACAATCTAGGTTTGACACTGGGAAATGTGGTCAACCTCTCACTTGCACACGTGGTAGTTTCCCCAAAATGTCCAAAATGTCCAAAATGAGAGCACCCAATGTAAACCTCTATATAATTATATATATATACATATATGTATATACAGATATATATATATATGTGTGTGTGTATATACACACATGTATCCAAAAAATTACCCCCAATTTTGGGAAACCCCAACCCTTGTCTCTCTATATATATATACTAGGGTTTTCAGGCCAAAAGGGTAGGTACATGGGGGGGTAGCATATATATACATCCCTATGACACCCTTTTTGTCTCCCATAACTCCTGTAAAAATTGTGCCCCTAATTTGGGAAACCCCACATTGCGGCTCAGACAAAGAAAGATCCTCGTCTGCGGAGCTCTGCCAGGGCCCTTCTCCTAGCGCTTGCATGACCTGTGGGTTTAGGGTTTAGGGCTCTTACTAGTGGTTAATAGGGAATAAGGAAATAGAATCCCTGTATAATATATTCCCTTATTCCGTAGTAACCCCCACAGTTATGCTCCTTGGCTTTGGGAGCATAAGATTAGACAAGGGCGTGCACTTCATCTCAAGTGACGACCGGCCAATTAGTCGGCCCAGACTCCCAGACCAAACCCTGGACCCTCAAGGATTCTTTTTGCGCCTCATGCAGGAACTTGCCAGCAGGCTGCCGGATTAGGGAGACGACGTTGGCATCATAGCCTCAGCAGCTCAGCAACTGTCGAACAATCAGGGGTGGAAGGCTGGGCTTGGGGGTTAAGGGTTAAGTGTTTAGGATTCAGGGTTGAGGGTATACGGTTTAGGATTCAGGGTTTAGGGTATAGGGTTTAGGATTTAGAGTTTAGACACGCGCATCGCACAAGTGCAGGATTTTTTTTTTGTGGTACCTTTTCTCCTCAGGTTATCCCCTCGGAAATGTTACTAGAACACGGCCCTGGAAGTCTTACCTCAGGAACCTCAAAAGCAAACCAATCCCTTATGCGCCAACCCTCAGCAGCTGCAGACAGGTACCTGCCAGCGGTTCGCTCAAAAGGAGCAGCGGCACAGACAGGCAACAACCCTTGCAGTCAGCTTGCCAGAAAACAGGAAAAGAACAGGATGGCGTCTCCACGGAAAGGCACACAAACACGGAACAAAGACTATTTGAGCCAATGCTCCAAACTGGACTGCCTAGGTGAATTACTAGCACTACTCCCTCTCTCAGTAGCAGAGGTCCTAGCCAAGCCACCCTCCGCACCCTCAAGGCCAGCGCCGCCATCCTCACTTTCCAACTGCGAGCCCTCAATGCAAGTGTCCGGCAACATGTGCGAGGGGCACGTCTCTGGCAACACTTCTTGATCCACCTAAAGGCTTTCCTGAGGCAAGCTTCCCGCAAGTACAGGTAGAGGTTCAGCAGCTTCAGACCCCTCCGACACTGCACTCACCCCTTGCTGAGCCGCCCTCTGCTCTCCAGTCAGCACTTGCCCTTCACCCTGGTCACCCTCGGTCTCTGCCAGCTTTCTTTTGCGCTCTGGCTTCGGCCACAACCATTGCTGTGGTGGTCTGGTCTCGTCTGCATCTGGCAGTCCGTGGCCGATCCCCGCGTCGATGATGGCCAGCGCAGGATTTAGGTTTTAGGGTTTAGGGTTTAGAAGATGGTGACGAAGTACAGAAAAAATGCAGACGAGAAGCAGGTGTCATCCAAGTTCACCATAATGACTGGGATGCCACGGCGGAGCGCTTCCGCTGGCAGTTCGTTGGCAGGCCGAACTATCCTACGGTAGCGATGAGATGCCAAGAAGTTCACCATCATGCTCTGAAAAAACACTCGTGTCTCATGAAGAGGTGTCGTGTCCTTGATTAGGGAGACCCCGTTTAAATCCCGATATATTGCAATCCTTATTCTGGGAATCCAAAAGATACCCTATTCTTGGGAAACCCCGAAAAACTGCTTCGTAGACAGCCAGGCTTCAGTGTGCTGCCAATCACCAGAAGGAGGTCACAATCCTGGACCTGCTTCCGAGCACGCTCCACGGCTCCTTCCGGCAGGGCCTGTTCGAAGAGTACTGTTTCCTTACTGGTAGTAAGTAGGGAACATGGGAGTAGTATCCCTGTAGAATTCCTATGTAATCCCTATCCAATATAACTCCTATATAATCCCTGTCCAATAGAACTCCTCTATAAGCCCTATCCAATAGAAATCCTTTGCAATCCCTATCCGATAGAATTCCTACATAATCCCTATCCAATAGAATTCCTATGTAATCCCCATCCAATAGAACTCCTATATAATCCCTATCCAATAGAATTCCTATATAATCCCTTTCCGATAGAATTCCTACATAATCCCTATCCAATAGAATTCCTATGTAATCCCCATCCAATAGAACTCCTATATAATCCCTATCCAATAGATATCCTACATAATCCCTTTCCAATATATTCCCTTATTCCCTACTAACTCTAAACCCTAAACCCTAAAGTAAGTTTCTGTGCGGAGGGGTGAGCTGCACTTTGGGCAAACAGGAATGCCAGCTTCACCGCAAGCTGCCAGATCGCAAACCTGCATTACTTGCTGGGATCTAGTAGGGAATAAGGGAAAATGTTGGGGTTTAAGTGTTTGGGGTTTAGGGTTTAAGGGTTTAGGGTTTCTCCTATCGGATTTTGCCTCTTCATTATGATGCTCATATAACTCAATTTGCTGGCTTTGGTGACAGGTTGATGAAGGAACATAATATGGTGCTTTCCGTTGAGATACTTCCTGAAGAATGGCTCCCTCGTCTAATGAGACTTCTTGCTTAAAGCAAGTGACCGGGGAGTCGCTTTCCCAGCAGAGGCTTCGCAGGCTGGATGCAAAAAAGGGTTTAGGGTGTAGGGCTAGGGGTCTATAAAAGGGATTATAGAGGGATTATTTTACCTTTTTCCCTAACCAAGAACCAGTAAGATTGGCCCAGACAGCTTCTAGAACAAAAGACAGGAGATATGGACGTCCTTTATAGACATGGGAGTTTCCCAAAGTAAGGGGACCCCAACGTGGACCCCAAAATGCGACCCCCCAAAAAAGTAATCCTGATTTTGAAACACCCACATGTCCCCTAAGCGTGTAACACCTATGGAATCTAATCCCTATATAATCCGAAAAGAATATATGACCATTATTCCCTACTAACCCCCAGAAAGCAAATTTCCACCGAGGCGCAAAATCGCATGCCCCCGTTGCAAACGGCTCTGGATTCAGTGCAGTTCGATGGTCGGAGCAGATCAAACGTCGCATGTGCCCGTGGAGCTCGTTCACCTGACGTCATCAAAAGTTGTGGATGATGTTGTTTAGGGTTTAGGGATCCAAACCAGATCATGAGATGGGGATTTCCACAAATTGGGTGCAGCTTTTGGGGGGTCGGCATAATAATAAGGATTATCAAGCGTGCTGCCCTTGTGCATGGAAACAACCACATCAGAGGGCATACAGGACATCTGGCGTTGCAGCGTTTGCATTTCTGCTCCACAGTTTTGAGTTATAGTCTAAACTCCTAGTATCCCCCTTAATCACCCCAATGATACTCTCGTCTATTATCCCCGATATAACCCCTTTCAGAGTTTAGACTACAGCTCTATTGAAGCCACGTTCGCCTTCTCGCATGGCACGCCACCATCTTGGTGCAGCGAATCGATGTTCTGTGTGATGACTCCACTCAACCTGAAATCGGGGATCTCACACTCTCTCGTTCTGGAATTTTGCTGCCAGGGTTGGCAATATAAAAGATAGTGGTAGCATGATCGTAATAGCAGTAACAATAGCAAAAAAGATTCAGAGAATTGTGCTACCCATACCCAGACGAGACATCTAAAAGCACTCTTAAGCTCAGCATGCTCTTGCCGGTGCAAAGAACAAGTCACACTTTATGCTTTAGCCCTTGTATCTGCGAAGCTTCGGACACATCACGGGGTCATCAGAGGACAACATACCACAAAATGATTGCTTGTTCTGCACCAGTGAGCTTGCCACGCATCTCCAGCTGACCAAAGAAACAATGAGCAGGATTGGGCTTTGCCAAGCGCATCTCCTTCAGCAACTTTCGCTTCATTGCCCACCACTTCTCGCGCACGTGGGCATCATGATTGAAGCCAGCAACCTACCGGGCAGCAACAGCCAATCAGATCCAGTTGGCACGCACATCCACTTTAGGAAAAACCAAAAGCAAGCAATGCAAGCAATGCTTGTGATGATGCACCGTCATTTGCCGCGCATCGAATTCTGCCCAAATGGCCCCAGTGTCGCTGCCGGAGGAGCTGGGAGCACGGAACGGAGTAATTCCTGCCATTGTCATTGTCATTTGCTTCGCACTGCTCCCTCACTGAAGTGCCCATACACAAGATGTTGCGTAGGATGCTGCAACCAATCTGCAGGTGAATGCGAAGCATGAGAACCAAGGTGACCCAAGCAAGTGGTCAGACATTAGATTTACAAATGGAATCTCAGACGTATCCTGATTCCACTGAAATCCCGGCACCGGTAAGCGCGACAATGCGGTTTGCGCGTCGTACAAGCTTCGCCACCTATGCAGCTGACATGCAGCTCCCCACAATCTGCCCATGAATTGTGCACAGCCTATCCAAGCCACACTTCCCACAGAGTTGAGCTGGTGGCATGGGCGGGCATACTCCACACCCATGGCAATATCATCCCGCACGGTGCGTTCGAAGAGTTCAACCTCCACAGCAGGCGAACCGCTTCAAGCAAGGTGTTGAAGCTATCCAACACAACTTAACCACCACATTAAAATCAATTAAACTAGCCTTCGTTTGAACGCGCTTGGATAGTCTTGCCTGCTTTCTGTTTCATGGGCCCCCAACTTAATCTGGACCCCCTGCGCAAACAGTACCTCTTTTGTCATGCCACCATCGGGGCCCCGCTAACCGAGTATGTTCTCCACAGTCTAGACTACTAGAGGACCCTTTGGATCTCCAGAGCGATGCTGAAGGCATTTAGTGGTTGCTGTTGAAGATTACGTACCCTCCCCCAAAGCTAACATGGAAACCATAGCTCTTAGTAGCGCAGTGACAGCAATCCCCTCCCCCTGTTATTGAACCCCCCAACCCCCACCAATACTAAATACTCCTAAAATATGATAATATACAACAGTGGGAGTATTTAGTATTGGGGGGATGGGGGGTTGAATATTAGGGGGAGGGGATTAGTCTATGTAAGGCCCCTTTTTCGGTTTCCATGCTGGTTCTCGAGAGCTAAAACCTTGCGTTGAGAAACTTCCTGAAGAAAACTCGGCCGCTCAACCCATAAACCTCAAACTCTTCAACTCTGCACCCCAGTCCTACAGGGTTTAGGATTTAGGGTTCAGCCCTAAACCCTAAACCCTAAATTCCTAAATCCTAAATCCTAAAGTAAAAGCCCTAAACCCTACACCCTTGCCCTG